TATGGACTTTATTACTTTACTTTTTTGGTTTAGTTTAAAAAATTTTAATACAGAAGCACAAAAATAAGATTATATATATATTATATATGTATCATATATATGTACTTATATACTTACTTTTGTAAATTACAATATTACTAGCTTTTTTTAGTTACAACATAGTATTACAATTTTGCAAAAAATTTTTTTATTCATATATTTATTTGCTATTTTTATATATTTACCAATATTTGTTCACATCTTTGTTATTATATTAAATACAGGATTTATGTAGATCAGAACTTGATTAAAACTTGTTAAAAAAATTGCAAAGCCCATTATATTAACAAAAGCAGAAGCTTGTCAATAAAGTGACAAAGTGGCTATTATTGTAAGATTAAATTTGTGAAGATCGTATGTTCTTTGTTGTTTTAGCTTTTTATAGGCTGTGTTGTAATAAATTTTGAAATATCTTATTAAATACAAGTAATTTCTAATTAATGTAGTAATTATATACAATTATTATATATTGAACTACTTAAATTACAAAAATTAGTATAGTGAAATAAAAGAGTAATTATCTGACTTTAACAGAATAATGATCTATCATTGAAAAGTTATTTTTTTTCATTTATAACAAAGGCAGATTTTATTATTTCCTTTTACTTTTAGTTATTCTGTAATAACTTGGCAATTTAGAGTAATATAACTGCCGTTGTAATACAAATATCTTGTTTTAATTATAATTAAGCTTTGCAACTACAATTATAGTATAATTTTACAGTGTTTGGGCTTTATGGCTATGGCAGTACAAGAATCTTTAGTATAACTATCAATATAAAACTCATTTATGAGAATATAATAGAAGTTAAATTAATCTTAATTATAAATTAATATATTAATAAAATAGTTGTTAGCGAAATGATACAAATCTAAGAAGCAAGTAAAAATAAATAATTATTCTTAGAAGTATCTTCGAATTATTAAAGAAGATTAGAATATTAATAAGTTTAAAAAAAAGCATGTTTTGAACAAATTAAGAAGTAAAATAAAAATACTTATATTATATCATCCAAGTTTTTTCTTAAAGAATTAACTATTAGTAGATTAAATTGAAAGATATTAAAATTTTTTATCAGTCTAAAATATAAAAAGAAGATATCCAAATTAAAAAAAATTATCGCATTGCAATAAAAATTCCTTTTTATAAATACTTCTTTTTATTATCTCAATTTTTCTTAAAAAAATTTTTTTTATTCTACTATTTATCATGAATCGTGAAGTATATACAACTGTTAATACTACACATAATAAACAAAAATTATTATTCGTGGATACTTACTTGTAAAAGACAAAAATCGTGATAACTCTTTTTATTGGTGCTATAAATATAAAGATTCTCATAATTGCAAAGTAAGAGCAGTTACAATTTTAGAAGGCCAAAGTCATGTCTTAAAAAAGTTTAGTAAGCATAACCATGCACCAGAACCAAGTCATGCTGATGTAATTCAAGCATTAAATAATATGAGAGAAATAGTATCCCAAAGCCGTGAAAGACCATCTCAAATAATCTATGATATAACAATTAATATGCCTGAAGATTCTTTTTATTATATGCCTAATAATGAGGCATTACGCAAGCAGATTTCATGTATTTGACTTAAAAATATACCTATTCAACTACAAGCACTTCAAGAAATAGATGTTCCCAATCAATTACAAGTAACTATGAGAGGAGAACAATTTTTAGCTAGAGAAATAAATCTTAATAATGAAAAAATTATGATTTTTTGCACTAGTAATAACTTACTTTATTTTGAGGAAGCAAATTATTGGTTGATAGACGGTATCTTCAAAACTGTACCTACACTTTTTCGTCAATTATATACTATCCATGCCCCAGTTGGAGGTGAAACTAATTTTTGTGTTTTTCCTTTAGTTTATATTTTAATGACCAACCAATTAGAAGAGAGTTATAAACAAGTATTTCAAGAATTATTAAATTTGAGTAAAGAAGCAAGTTATAACTTAAATCCACCTGTAATTATAACTTATTTTGAACAGTCAGTTATTAATGCTGTTCAGATTAAGTTTCCTAATTCTGTACATAAAGGTTGTTTCTTTTATATGTGTCAAAATTTTTGGAGAAAAATTCAAGTTGAAGGATTGGCAATTGAATATGGCAATAATAAAAGTTTTAGTTTTAGATTATGTCATTTAGTAGCTCTCGCTTTTCTTCCTTATTTGGAGATTTTAGCTGCATTTGATATAATTAAACCTTTAATGCCTTCTAATACTATTGAAATTGTTAATTATTTCGAAAATAATTACATTTATAGAAAAATTCAATAATAGCTTCAAAATAAAGTTACAACTCAAATTTCACCTTTATTTCTGCCATCATTTTGGTCAGTACATGAATTAGTTGAAAATGGATTTCTTAGAATGCAGAATTTTGTTAAAGAATGGCATAATAGATAGAGCAATATTGTAGAAAAAGCTCATCTTGGTACTTATACAATTATTGAGGAGATACGTAAAGAACAACAACAAGTTGATATGCAAATTGAACATGTATTACATGGTAAACTTCGTCCAACTCAACATAAATACTTAGTTGATCATAAAAAAAGAATTATATTAGTTTTTAATAATCATGATACTTATACAGTTGTTGATTTTTTAAGAGGTATCACACATAATATTTCTTAATAATTATGTATATTTAGCTATGATAAACTACAAGCATATTTAAAAAAATAGCTCCAAACAAATTTATATTTTTTTATTTTGGTTTTTTTTCTTATTTCGCAGTTTTTTTTATTTTATATTTATTTTATCTTGCATTTCTTTTTTTTTTTTGTTTTTTTTTTATTTCGTTCTCTTTTTTATTTCATTCTTTTTTTTTTGAGTTTTTTTTTTTTATTTAAAGTTCTTTTTTTTATTTTAGGTTTCTTTTTTTTACTCTTTTTTAATTTTTTTTTTTTTTATATTTCATATTTACAAACTTAAATACAAAAATATTTTCTTTTTTTTTATTTCTTGTTTCTTTTTTTTTTTTTTTTTTTTTTTTTTTTTTTTTTGTTTTTTTTTTTTTTTTCATTTTTTTTTTTTTTTTTTTTTTTCTTTTTTTTTTTTTTTTTTTTTTTTTTTTTTCATTTTTACAAATTTAAATAAAAAAATATTTTTTTTTTTTTTTTTTTCTTGTTTCTTTTTTTTTTTTCTTTTTTTTTGATTTATTATTTGTTATTTTTTATTATTACAAGTTTTGTCTTATGTATCGTTTGAGTATTATAAAGATATTTATTATAAATTCATCAATTGCAAAAATATAAGGCAGTATAAGAGCTAGAATAGGTTAAAGTTGGATAAATTTTAATCTTCGTTCTCTAATAAAAACATGCTTGTAATTAGGGTTGCAGCCCAAACCATTTTTTTTGAGTTATGACATTTAAAGTTAATTTTCTAGTTTTCATAGCATAAACCAAAAAAAATAACCCACCTGCTCTTTTACTAAAATGTATCTATGGTGTTTTATCACCTATATTGCATAATCTTAAAAACTGGATAACTAATTAATATGCAATACTCTAAGTAAAAATTCTCAGGAGCCCTAATTTCCCCACCAGTTGTGATTGGTCACATGAAATACCATATTCAATTGGTAAACTAAATCACGCCACCACAGCCACAAAATCAAAAACATCGTTAGTTTTTCTTCAAAAAAAAAATTCAAATAATTATTAATGAATGTTTATGCCTTTCAAATTCTTATAGTAAAAAAATAAAAAAAAATCAAAATAATCTAAACAATTTAAACATTAACGAAAATAAGTGTTTCTGGCACAGCCAAGAAAATTTTATAAAGTCTTTTGTTCGGTACTTTATTCTCAAGAGAATAAAATTTTGTTGAAACTTAAAAAATACCAAAACTGTTTCAAAATTCCTTAATTATGGCCACAATTTTACTTTGTTCAAAAAATAATTAACATGAACATTTGAAATATTTTAAATTCATTTTATTGATACTGTTACAATACTGCAAATAAATAGAATGCTACTGCAAATTGCTAATTAATGGGTTTTTTTTATATATACTAATACAATAATGTACTCAAGTTTTCAAAAGCCATTTTCCTGAAAAAAAAAATAATTAGTCAGTATTAAGTTCTTTCAGGAAAATAGCTTTCGAAAATCGTACAGTAATATTTCAATAGGTGCTAGTTTGCTAATTAGTAATGCTAAAAATAGATGTTATTGAAATATCTGATATTAGATATGAAAATGATGATTCAGAATTGACAAATTATGCTGATATTTTTCAAGCAATAGAGAAAGTTTCTACCAACTATAAAGAAATTCAACAGAATACTATGACAAAATTGGAAAACAACTCAACAAATAATGAAATAATTCGTGGTTATGAATTTTTCTTTGAAAAGTTTAGCCAAATTGCAAACAAAATAATTGAAATTTCATTCAAAAACCCCTCTATCGAACTTTTTCAATTTTCTTTATTTGAAAAGTGACAACACCACCTAGTAACAATTGATCAACATAATGGATCACTTCAATCAGCAATGGCTAAAATTACTTACTGCTAAGTTGCTAAATAATTAGTAAATTTTTCATACTCTTACAAAATAAAATAAAATAAAACAAAGCAAACCAAAAAAAATAAAATTAGTACTATAGTCCTTCCAGGTTACTGGCTTGTGACAGTAATTAAATGAAGTACTCAACTCCCGTTTTAAGGATCTAGACTTCTGTAATACCATACCAATAGGGAGTACTATAAAAAGAGCGGTAGCCTAATTTGGTGGTGTATGATGTGAATACCTGGAACCATGCAAACAGCTCTCCTAATGGCAGCAGCAGGTGGTTTGAGATACAGGTCTTCGGATAGCAGCAGCACCTGGCTTAAGATACAGATTAGGAACTGAAGTAACATCTCGAACTGGAAGCAAGAAGAGTGCCCAATCCTAGAACACCAATTTGGAAGTTATACAAGAAACGAATTAGGAGTAATGTGATAAGTGATGAGGGGTGGATGATAACTGGTAAATGTTATACAGTAGTATATATAGCGGTGTATATACAAATTAGTAAAAACATTAAGGTTTTGAGTTAAATTAGGACTTAGGGTGCTTCTTGATAGAGGTGTCTGAAGATGTCTATCTCACATGTAAGATTGTGCAGACAGTTGCATCTGGGCGCCATATAGGGTAGCCGAGTGAGGTCATTACAACTACTTAGGTTAAAATATATATGTAATATAATATTCGATTAAATAAGTAATAAAGTTAATGACAAAATCATTGAAGTTTAAAAAAAAAAAAAAATACTATAGTCCTGTATAAATTAAATAATCTCACTATATTAAAGTTCTTTATATGAGATAAACTTTTTACATGTAGTAAAGTTCTTTAGCAAACTTGAATTATAATAAGTTTGATGCTTACATTAAAATTGATCTAAGTTAGAATATTTCGGTCAATTAATAATCTACAAAATCCATAGTTGAGATAAATTAGTGTGAGTTAGAAGTCAGAAATAAAATACAAATTTTACATTAGTTACTTTTAATTATTTGAAAATTGCAAAAGTATTTTATGTTATGCTATAAAAACTTTGGCATTATTAAATTTCAAAATATTATATGTTAATGTTAAAGCCAGAAACTTGATAAATAAAGCTTGGATTAATAAATAACCAACATGTCAAATTAAATTAACTCAAATAAAAAGTGAATAAAATCTGTTGGTAAAATAGGTTGTCAGAAAAAGTGTATTTAAAAAAACCTAGTGTCAGAAAAAAGTCAAATTAGAAATATGTCTTGTTGGAAAAATGTCTTGTCATAAATATGAGATGTCGGTAAAGGAAGCTGTAGAAGATATGTTATATTGGTGAAATATTCTGTCGGCAAAAAGTGCTGTAGGAGAAATATTCTGTCAGGGATATGGTGTCAGGAAAATGAGATAGCAGGGAACTTTCGGGGTATCAAGCAACAATCATGCTATTTGGGCTGGAATGCATCCAACAATTTATTGCATGTGTGTAGTCCTTTTTGTTATTATGATTTACAACTTTATAATAAATTTTAAAAGCTTCAATATTATATTTTTGAGTTTTGGATTATAGAATTAGATTTCAGATTATAGTTTTGGGGTTTCGGGTTTTGGAGTTTCGATTTTTTTAAATAAATCTAAAACTAGTTTCAGATTAAAACCCTCTCGAATCTGTTTCGAGTAGGTTTCATTTTGACACTATCTTTAGTATATAGTGTGTATAGAATATACAATATATATAATACACATATGATATATAAACTATCTATATGCAAAATTTCACAAGGAGTAATCTAATTTTTGAGATATGAATAGTTTTACATTTTGTTTTAGAATATTCTAAATTTTTTTTTGTGACTATACTATAGTTGTTAGACGAAATCTTGAGGTTTTGTACTGACAAAATATAAGATCTAGATTCGTCTTTCATCAACTAAAATCTCAAATGGCAAAATAATAAAAGGTAACGAAACTGGCGAAATATGATGAACTAAAAGGTGATGAAACTGATGAAACTGCAAAGGGTACAAAACTAATAAAAGATAAGAAACAGAAGCAAGTATAAGTAAGGATACTACTGGCTTCTACATTTATATTTATATAAGACTGAAACTTAAAACATACAATTATATTAATTTTAATAAGTAATTTAAGAAGTAATTTATCAATTAGGTAAATTAGCACAATTAAGATTATTCACATTTTTCTGTATATCGATATCCTATTAGCTAAATCAATAAAACATGCATTGTTTTCAGATCTTCAATTATAAAATTTCTGTAATTAGCTTTTCAAAACCTAAATATACAAGCCAGGTCAAGCTACTAAACATCTTTAGCATTAAACATAGATGCTAATGGCTTATTTGCTATTTACAATTTCTGTAATTGGCTTTTTAAAATATAAATATACATACAAGTTAATAAATATCTTCAGTATTAAATATAAATAAAAAAGCCTCATTAATGATTTATCGTTGGGTTAAATATATAAAATTATAGAGATAATTTTATTATTTTTATTGATAGCTTCATCAAAGCCAAAATTTCAGTAGTAATTTTTTAGCGAGAGAAGTAGAAATTCACTATTATCATAAAGTTTCATTAATTCAGTTTTTTTTTTTTTTTTTTTTTAGTGGGAGCTCATGGGGGTTTTTTTTTTAGCAGAAATACTAGGATTTTGTTATTTTGAATTTGGGGATTGTCTTTTATTAGCTGAATTTGAGGTTTTGTTTCATCTTTTGTCAGAGGTTTTGTTATTTTGGGGCTCAAGTTTCATCTTTTGCCACTAAGCAAAAAAAGTTTTGTCTGTCAACTATAGACTATACTATATGAACTACCCCAGTAACACTGACAGATTTTCACAATTTTTAAAATAACAAAACATTATATTATGGTTAGTTTGTGATCTTATGATCATATTAGAGCTTTTTTTTATACCAAAATTTTGCAAAGAATTTTTTTTGCTAATGCACAGTAAGTAGTTTCATATATAAAATTTTGAATTATTTACTATTTTTTAAAAAATGCATAATTTTCACATTACACCTGATCTTAAAATCTAATTGGCCAATTTATATCAATTAGTGAAAATCTATTAGTGCTACTGGGGTATAGTTGGTAGTAGTATAAATTAATACTATTA